ACATGTTCAAGAGAGGTCAAACAGGTTTGGAACAACATTCCATAATATTAATATAAGACAGCAATACTGTGTAAGGAAGAAACCTTGGAAGAGTCCAACACTAAGCAGCCCATTTTCAGTCCATCAGTTCAACAGCTTTTCTGTCTCACAGGTATAACAGAGACGGTGGCCCAACTTGCATCTGGCTGGGTGACAGACAGGAATCTGGTTCACAAATATCACTACCATAAGGCCTACCTGATCCTGTGTGGTGTGGTCAATCTTCTCTCCCCTCTGGCCACCTCATACATCTTGCTCATGGTCTACGCTGTCTTCTTTGCCATCTTCTGTGGGGGGTACATGGCTCTCCTACTTCCTGTACTGGTGAGTACTGGCAGGACTGTGCATGTGCCATTGGCATAGTAAAGCATTCTTCATAACACTTCATAACGATTATGTATAAATGTGTATATATAGATAATATACTATAATTTAGTTAAGTTTAAAATTGAAATGTCAGTTGTCTTTGTTTAATTGTTTTGGCACTTTCAATGTTGGCAATGTTACCAGCAGCTTGAAAATATGTCTTAGGAGTTATGAGCTCAGTTCTGTTCATTAAAAATATGTGTGTGGACCGGCAGGGTGGGAACATCTAATGCAGTTTCCTTCACTCGTATTATATGTGCTCATGGAAAGGTCTTCTTTCTAGTTCTGAGTCATTGAGTTCTTGTGCTGTAATACTGTAAAGTAAGGAGAGAGGGATAGATTGACAGTCAGCACTGCAGTACACCCGTTCCTTTGGAAGGAATCTTCGGTTTTACCTTTCAAATATTTTTTACAACCTATGGATTGGAATCACTCTGAACCAGATAGACAGTATTAGTGCCTAAAAGGCCCCTGGGGGAAAACAGTCTGTTGCTAACATGTATAGACATTAAATAAAGGATAGTTTACCCAAACATTCTGCAAATTCTGTTGTCATGTACTCACCCTCAAGTTGTTCCAAACCTGTATGAATGTCTTTCTTCTGCTGAACACAAAAGAAGATATTTTGGAGAATGTAGGTTACCAAATTGTTCTAGTCTCCATTGTATTTTTCCCCCATACTATGGAAGTCAGTGAGGACCAACAACTGTTCGTTTATGTTCAAAAGAAGAAAGAAACTCATACACGTTTGGAACAACTTGAGGGTGAGTAAATAATAATAGCAGAATTTTCATTTTTGGTGAACTAAGAGACTAATCAAATATTGATCATTTGTGAACTCCCTGAACCTCAAGAAAGCAATTAAAAATAAAATTTGCATCAACACAATGCCATTGCTTGTCTGATTGTAATATGCAAATCAACTGTTCTATTATGAGTAAATTTGATTAAGAGAATTACTGTAGTAAAGCGAATGGTTTTTCATACTGCATGGTGCTAAAAAAAAGTATGAAAATGTATGAAATATATACACTACCGTTCAAAAGTTTGGGGTCAGTAAGATTTTTTTTTTTTTTTCAGCAAAGATGCATTAAATTTAGATGCATTAAAAATTCTTTATTGTCATAAACAGTTTTGCATCGTTATAAAATTAGTTTACATTGTTACTTTTTATTCATCAAAGCAGCCTGGTGAATGAATATATATATATATATATATGTATATATATATGATGAATTATTAAAACATTTTATAAGAGTATGGCATTTAAAAACAACTTTTTCTTTAATGATGAAGCCTTGTCTATTTTTGGGGAAGTCGTGGCCTAATGGTTAGAGAGTCGGACTCGTAACCCAAAGGTTGCGGGTTCGAGTCTCGTACCGGCAGGGATTGTAGGTGGGGGGAGTGACTGTACAGCGCTCTCTCCCACCTTCAGTACCACGACTGAGGTGCCCTTGAGCAAGGCACCGAACCCCCAACTGCTCCCCGGGCGCCGCAGCAAAAAAAATGGCTGCCCACTGCTCCGGGTGTGTGTGTGTGCACTTTGGATGGGATAAATGCAGAGCACTAATTCCGAGTATGGGTCACCATACTTGGCCACGTCACATCACTTTTTCACTTTATACGTATTAATAAATTGCCAATCTGCTAGTAATATGCATGCTAATAAGCATTAATAGTCAGAATTGGTCCCTAAACTAAAGTGTTACCCTGTTTTTGTACTGAGGGGGAATTCAGGTAAATGAGCCAGATATGGATCAAGGGTTACATAATAGTTACATAAAAATAAATGTAACCTTTTAAAAACTGTACTTGACACATAGCACCACAGAGCAATTCCTTTGACGAATTGGTTGGGAAAACCAGAAAAAATGCCAATTGATAATCTTCAACAATAAAGCTGATATATTTGTAAGAAGCAAATTTACATTTAATAGTATTAAATTATATGAGAAAAATAAGAGTTTTTATTTATTTGGCACATTTTAGCTGAACAGGTAAAATGTATGGGATGTTAATATGTGGAAATTATAGGCTGAAATTGAGAATGTTAAAAATGTGTCCTACTTTATTGTATACTTAAGATAATTGGCCAGAGTGCCAGTATGAAAGATAAGTCAAGTGTGTAATTTCTGCTCCTCTATGCAGGCTGCAAAAATAATGACTATTTCCCAATCAAAATGTCTATGGAGAGAACTGTCCGTTAACACTGAAATGTTGACTGGCTTTTTTGAATAATGCTTTTTGCAGTCAGATCGTATATTGGCTAACCAACCAAACCACTTATTAAACACCTTTGCAGTGGCCTTGAAAAGAAAATATAAACGTGAACACTTTCTCTCTGGTTTCTCTATCCGGTCCAGGTCTGGAAAGTGCTAACTAGCTGATTAGAGGGAGACAGCAGAGGTCCAGGGAGGCACAGATGCTCGGTGTCTATGGAATAACCCTCTCAATTACAACATGGCCAAATTGAAACGGATCCCGATTTAACTCTTCCAATACACCTCATTGCAGCTTTCCCAGTCCATCTCTCTCTCCAGCGATGGACCTCTCTGAAGCAGCACGTCCAGATAGGCTGCCAGACGCAGTGGGGAGACCATTGATTCTCAATAACATCACTAATGACTGCACACTGCCTGACACATGCTGCCATTACTTGAGGTGAGGGCCGGGACCGAGGGCAGGGCTGAGCGTGGCACAGCAGATAGAGCCAGTTAGGGATGGTTATGAGGATGAATTTTTTGTTAGTTGGGGAGAAGAATGATGAAGAATGAAGTCACAAGTCAGAAAGACTCGGTCAATACTTAAGGGACAGTAACCTCTGGTTGTCTTATTTGCGGGACAGACAACCTTTGATCTATTCTTTTTCAGTTTCTTTCACTTCTTCATCCTCGCCTTCTTGATTCATCCCTCATTAGCAGGCGTCACTCCCATTAATGAGTCCAGACCGCGGGTCAATACGGCACTAGCCTCAGAGTCAATACCAGTTACCTGCAACACAAACACTCAAAAGTTGCACTTGCAGAAAATCAATATTGTGTTGCAGGCCTATCCCATCACCATTCTCATCCTACTCTCTACAGCACAGCTGACAAATGCTCTCTCCTGTAAAAATATACTAAATAGCAACTGTGGAGAAAGCACAAATATTTAAATTGTAAAGTGAATTTGTAGAGTACAATTTTAAGTGTAAATCATGGTAGTATTTGCTGTACTGAATCTAATTCATGCTAATTAAAAATTAAAAAATATATATTATACATATTTTTGTAAGTATATGTATATATATAGCATATATTTGTGTAAGTATATGTAATTACATATAGAAATTAATCAAATTAATTATAAAAATTAATAATATTATAAATTAATTTATTATGAACTATTATTGAAATATAATTATTAATTATAAAAATTAAAAATGATTTAAAAATATTTGATAAATAATATTATAATCATTGTGTCCAGACAGGTGATTCTTGTTACTTTATTGTAGTGATGAGAATGAGATTTTCTTTCTCAGTAGAGGGTAAAATGTGCTGCTTTGTCATGAAAATAAATAGTAACAAAAAAACCTTATGGTTATAATATAGGCTACTGTTCCTATGACCCAGGAACTTCATCCATCCTTGTCTTTGAAACTTTGCACACTTCATCAATACATTATTCAGTAAATCCTGAAGTCTATAATTAAATAGCAGACAGGTATGCAGATATAAGGTCCAACCTTTATTCCATACATTTTTAAACCATGAATGTTCATTTTCATTTTTTCACGCCTAAAGCTCTACTTGTTTTGTATACAAGAGTCTAAGAAAAACAACTGCACAACACCACAAGGTCGACAGAAAGAGTCTATTGCCACCCCAACCATTCCAATATGTTTCTCAGATGTCCAGGTTTTGTAGCTGGAGATGTGTTCACTGCTAAAGCAATTCCTTTATGACCCGGAAGTTTATAGCTGTTTGTTTCATTGGCTCTTCATTGGACAAATGAATAACAGTTATCCAGGTTCTTACTTTTAGAACTCCATTTGATAACCGTCCAATCAGAACACTCTTAATCCTCTTTGCATAGATTGCATCGCCATAACTGCACCCCCATTTGAGTCCTCCCCTCTGATTGGACAGCTCCGTCACCATGGTTTTCAACCTGGAAGTGGTTCTGTTTAATTTCATTGTTTTTTAGAAACATTTAAAAAGCCTAACAAATGTACAATGTCATTTAGTTCCAAGTAATATCAACAAGATATTTACAATATCTTTAAACTTTACATAAACCAAACAAGAATATTGTAACACATATTTGTCTGCATATCTCGAAAAGAAAATCAAGCAAACAAACAAAAAAACCTCCAAAATGTAACTTTGTACATGGTCAGGACTGAATATTTCCAGGTACCATAGAGCCAATCAGTTGTCAAACAGAGAGATCATACCAATTCAGATATGTAGGTATCCATATCCAGCAGCTCACTAGGATAAATACAGGGCAGGGAACAAATTAAACTTAAAGGGATAGTTCACCTTAAGTTGCTGGTCCCCACTGACTTGCATAGTGTTTTTTTTCTTCTCCATACTATGGAAGTCAATGGGGACCAGCAACTGAAGGTGAACTATCCCTTTAATGCAAATACATAAAAAAATGTCTGTACATTAAGGATAGGAAATGTACAAACAAATTTCAGAATGTCTTTTCACATGAAAAAATGAAAAGGCATTGGATTAATATATTATCAAATTTCTGTTTGGTGGTTCACGTTCACGTCTTAGGTTTGGAGCTACCAAGAGTTGGAGCTAACAACTCTTTTCTTCCACTCCAATCATTTGAAAAAGCCAGTTGATGTGCTTGCTCCAAGGTACAAATATCTGTACAAATTACACATACCTATTTATCATTTACTCTATTTTGTGTGAAAATAAGTGCATGTTGCCTGTGTCCAACTCAAGTGAGGCATTTTCCTTTCTAGTATGTTACCGTGCCTCCACTTCTTTGGGGTTGCGTGACGGTGAGTACTCCCGAGGGTCCTGGGTGGTGATTGGCGTAGTCCGTCTTGGCGACGCCGGTCTGGCAGCACCAGAGGGTACCAGAGGAGGAGGGGCACTTAGTGCTGCAGTTGGGGGTGTCCGGTTAAGAAGTCCATTATGACCTGTTGAAGGGCTAAGCCTTGGGTACGGCATCCCGCCAAGGTGTGACATAAAAGGCGGCATGTGGGGTAAGTGTCCTTCAATGGGCGATTGGTGAAGTTGGTGAAGCCTTGCTCGATCCAGTTCCTCCCGTAAATGCAACCTTTCCCTTTCTTCAGCCTGTTGCCTCAGTCTCTCCTGTTCCCGCCGAAATTCCAGGAGGTGTTCGTGGTGCGAGTAGTCATGTGGCTCCCGATCCCGATAGGGCCGTTCTGGATCGTAGACACCAGGGAAACGGTGCCCAGGTTCGGAACGAAGCTGGAAATCCATGCGCCGTTGAAAGTCGAGGTTTCGGTAAGCCTCTCGAAGAGGATCCCAGGAAAACGCCGGATGAGGAAGGCGGTCTCGACCTGCTGCAAGAGGGCTGACTCCCATAAACGGTGCCATGCGGGTGCGTTCAAGTGCATTCAGACTTCCCATTTGATGCATGGCACTCAGAGTGAGCGGCAATGAGTGTGGCATGGGGACACTGTGAAGTGAGGATAGTGTTGGAGGGTCACTACAGCGAGGAGATGGCGGAGGAGGCTGATGGGATAGTGCAGGGTGGTGAGCTATTGGTGTGGTTTGATGAGGTGGAGGAGGGAGTTGAGGTTTAGTGGCAGCTTCGGATCCAACCACCATCACGTCCTGGTCTTCCTTGCATTCTTCCTTGATCTTCATATCGTTCTTCACCTTCTGTAGTAGATCCCCTGAGCTGGTTTCCTTCCTATCCCTCTCCACTTCTTTAATCGGTAGCGGTTGTGGGATACCCATCTTGATTCCTGCATCATTAAGGACATTTTTCGAGTATGGAGAGGGCGATCGGTGAACGGATTTTAGAGAGTCTTCCGAGGAACGTCTGTCTGTGATCTCCTTCCCTGGAGAACGACTTTCCTTCACCTTTATGTCTCCCAAAATGCCAGCCTCTCGTTGACGGTCCAACAGCTCTTTCTCAGGCTCACGGTTGCGGTCGGCACTACCACTACGGTGTCTGCCGGAGTCGGTCGAGTTCTGGCTGTTTGAGCGGATCAGGCTGCTGATCTGGTAGCTAACTGGAGCGGAAGCTGGAGAAGAGCGGTTCGAATGGCGGTTACGATCTAAAGAGTCTCTGCAACAGGAAAGAACCCATGATTAGTTGACTAATCAGAGACCAAAATTAGGCAAAATAACATGCTTTGGTCCATGAAATCAGCAACACCAACCTGTCTTTATCTTTCTCTTCTTTCCCAACAGAAGAGTCCCTTTTTTCTCTCTCCCGTTCTTTTTCTTTCTCCCGCTCTCTCTCTCTTTCATGGCTGTTTGCCGAGCTGCTTCTTTCTGCATCTGCAGATTTGGGCCACTGTGGAGGGGTCGGGAAGGAAGGTGGTGTTCGGTGCAGCCGATTCCAGGTGTCATGATGAGGACTACTGAGACCAGGCAGCCCTGGACCCTCTTTGGGTCCAAACACACTGTTGGCCCCTGAAATGACAAAAAAGTAACATCAGTTGAACAGATCACAGTCCAGTTCTGTCGAGGTTCTCCATACACAAGCTGAAAGGTTAATGGCGGATAGTAGTTTCTTCTACAAATGGGGTACCAAGGGCTGCTTTTGAAGACTTTTCAGCAGAGAACAAATGAATGACCAGCGGGGTCATGAGCTACGCAAAGTAAAGCGTTCCATAGAGATTCATTTCAATGCAATCAGTTTCACTACAATAAGTCCCGTTCAGCCAATGAAGGAAGAAGGGAGAGGAAATGAAATATGGCAAACCCTCCACCCTACTTTGCAAGCAACTAATGAATGCAAGAGCAATGCTAAACCAGTTGGGTTGTGAATTTGGCAAATGATTGTCTGCGGTAATGCCTGCCTCCCCCGCTTCCCTAAACTCTCATTTGGCATTTTGCTGCAAAGCTAAGTGCCTTTCTTTCATTCCCATCTCCTTTTTATTCCCTCTGCACTCTCTGTGGTCTAGAGCTAAGCTGTGCTGCACTGAGTCGAGCTAGAGGCCGGGGCTTACCGAGGGCTGGGTTGCCTAATCCACCGAAGGCACTGCTTGAAAGGTTGCTGAGGCCGCCAAAGGTACTGGAGCGACTGAATGGATCTGCAAAATGCCAAACAGGGATTAGCGACGCGGGGCCGGAGGTGCCCGACCATTCCAACCGGCTTTTCTCTAACAAGCAAGCTTTGTTTTTTGCGTCACTGTTACTGCTGCTATTCTAACTCCCTAAGGGTTGTTTATTTCTCCCAGTAAGACTGTTGGAGAGTGTTCACTGACTGCAGATTAGGCAGCAAGAGGTGCTGACATGAAGAGCAATAACTGATTGGAGTGTGATAGCTAGGGACATGTTGAAATGTCCGATGTGAAAAATGATTAAATGACAGCAAACAGCTCATGTGTCTCCCATCTCCTCTAGAGATTTCTGTGATTCTTCCATCTACTTACCCCTCAAAATATTAAGCTATGCATAAATACGTACCTTGCTATGGGTGAAGGAGCCCAAATCATTCATACAGTTGCATTTATAATTAAATTAAATACAAACAACCTACCTCCAGCCCACATAAGAAAAAAACACAATTCAGTGTTTTCTATGTAAAACATAAATTTAAATTCCTGAACTCCAAGAATGGATTTATGACTAATCTACAGAATACTTAAGCAAGCAGTCATTTAGCACATGCTTTTATCCAAAGCAACTTACAATATACTAATTTACATGAACAATCCCCCTGGAACAACCTGGAGTGTTTTGCTTAAGGGCACAATAGTGGTAAGTTCTTGACTGAGAAACCTTTTGATTACCAGTCCTGAGCTTTCACCACTAGGCAACACCGCACTCAGTTCTGCATTTTACCCGTTTTCTCTCCACTTCCTTTAGGCCCCAGCTGTTTAAGAACTCAAATTGGACTGACTTGAAAGCTCACTGTGTGAAATCAGCATTTAGCTCCTAACTCAAATATCTGAGGCCAGTAAAAAGAAAAAAAAAAAAAAAAAAAAAAAAAAAAAAAAAATAGGATAGATAATATTACTTTTACTATGTTTTGTTGTGGGAAACAAAAGTTGACTTTTGGTCAGAAAGTTCTCTGACACAAAATGTCATGGAAACAAATAACAATTTTGATATTCTTGTTGGTGGATAAAAGATAGTCTTGGATTCCTTCGGATGAAATAAAACATGGTCACTTTACACTGCAAAACATATTGTTATTATGTAACTTTGCCTTGTTTTCCATTTATTTAATCTAAACTATCATATCTTGAATATAAGTCAAAGTATTCACTGTTTATGCTTATATACCTTCCAGTTCAACAAAAAATGTTTACATTCAAGATAAAATATCAAGACTTAATATCTAAAGTAATTTTGCTTAAGTAAGTTTATCTTGTTTTGCTTGAGTATTTTTACAAATTCCAACAAGACAAATTTACTAGTTTAAAATACCCTGCCAATATAATATGTAAGACTGTTTGCTTCCAAATAATTTATTAATCATCATCAATACATTTGAAAGTTGAGCTAAGGTTAAATTTATAATATCTAACCCTTTGGGGAGACACTTCTAAGCCGACTGGTTAATTTGATATCAATTGGCCCAGAAGTGTCTCTGCAAAGGGGAGCCTTATGTTATTCACATGACAACGATGTACTAAAAACTGAAAACTTTTTCCTTTGTTTTTGAAAAATTCTGACTAAAAACTCTGTATTATGCAATCTATGCCAGTAGTTGCACTTTGTAAAGAAACACTATGTGCCTGAGCACATACCTATAGACTGAACTAGTGTTGTCAAAAGACCCGGTACTTTGGTACCAAGTCGGTACTAAAAAAATGAAAACGTTACGGTACCAGTTTTTTTTTTAAAATACCGGTGGTACCGAGTACCCGGTCAACCCGGTTCTTGATGCGCAATCCGAAAGGTGTGCAGATGCATTCTCTTCATAAAAGCTCTGAGACATGGCGACCTCAAAAGGAGGAAACACATCAAACTAACAAAACACTTTGAAGACTGACACCCAGATCAAATGAAAGAGTTCAAGCAGGTAAGTTTCAATTTAATTTTTAATATTTAGATCTTCTGTTATGAATATTATTCCATATTTTAATTTGAATGTTGGATTGAAATAAACATCACCGTTAGCATAGTTAATCGTTAGCATAAGCGCTCCTAAAGCTAATATAATGAGCATTACAATGAAGTTTCTTTATTAACTATTTAATGCTCCTATAACTTTATTAGGGTAAAAAAACAAAAACAAAGACATAATGATATTTACTATTTTTACACACCAGAGGCTTTTAAATGAATTGTGGATCTAAAATATGCGTGTTAGAGAATGTACAAATGGTTAACATTATGTCATATCAGTCTGTCAGAAAAGCAGTTCTGGGCCTTTTTTTTTTTAAGCTAACTTAGTTAGTTGTTATTCTTGGCTGGATAACTCTAGCAGGTTTTAAAAGCC